AGCATTTACATAGCACAATACGTTAATTACATTTATAGATGAAATCATAAAAATTAAAAGTATTCCTTGTTAAATAATTATTCTTGTAATTCGTTTTATTTTGGTTGTAGTGATTATGATACTGTTGAGCGTGAGATTACGCGTCAACTTCGCAGACTTCATGCTCATCCATCAATCGTTATCTGGGTGACGAATAATGAGGTCGAACAGGCGATTGCACAGGGTTGGTATAAACCCTGGCAGGCACATGATCCCAAGCTTCAGCAGGCTTATCAACACAGATTTGTTGATTCGATTCTCAAGGTTATAGAGGCCGAGGAATCTTCAGGACACCAAATGTATCCTCCAACTAACCCATCGAGTCTTATCTTCCATCCCAGACCAATCCTACTATCGTCACCGAGCAACGCCGCAGGCGGAGATGGAAGAACTTTCGACTCTCTCTATGACCCTCAGGTACTTTTAAAGATACTGCTCAAGAACATGCCAAAATTCTTTGTTCTAAAAGGTCGTGCATATCTATTATGATTTCTCCAGTAAGCATATTGCTAGGCAAAATTTGCCCGATACTCGGCATTTAATAAAAAATCCTATAACACTCGTTACCGATCGTCTAACATACGTTCATTACTTTTTTTCGGATGGAAAATTCTGCTTTGGCGAAATTTGGGGATTTAGTCTTCATCTCTTTCAAGAGTATACTCATATACAAATTAAATAAGCAGAAATGACTAATGAGTTGGCTTAATCGCGTCTTTAGGAATTTGATGTACTTTTGAAGAGATATATAATGGCCCATTTCGTACTATGTTCTTTGTGGTGGTATTCTGGCGCTATTTTCAAAAAGATGCCTTGAGTGGTTAAGAGAGTGGGTTAAAATTGCTATAACAAAGAGCATAATAAGGAGTAATTTCTAAGAGGCATTCTAAGGGTTCCAATGTTATTAGAATGAGATAAAGCCAACTAATTATGATGGATATTGACATTGGTTACTAAATAATCTCGGGCATATCAATATCCACTTTTTCACCATTAAATTTTTCTCAAATTAATTTCTGTTTTTAATCATTGAGATGGCTCAAATAACTCATTTATCTAGTTATTAAGTTGACAGGAATTGTGTATATCTTTTTTTAAATTATATCTCATATCTATTTGCCCATTCGATATCACATATATAATATATTAATATATAATATTAGGACATACGTCCGATAAAACTAAAATACTCAGCCACGGATGATTTATAAGAAATTAAAATAAATAACACTTTTCAGTAGCTTGTGTTTTAAACAATCATTTTATTCTACTTTTCACTCGTTAAAATACTACTTATTTCTACTCTGCTTTACAGGATCCAAGATACGGAGATGTGCACTTTTACAAATATGATGGAGATCTGTGGTCAGAAACCATCTACCCTGTGTCTCGCATGACTACGGAGTTCGGAATTCAGTCACTTCCCAATCCACTAGCCTGGAGACGTTCGATTCCCAAGGTGCAGCATACCGACCCAAGTCGGTGGTTGCCACATGGCCACCTGGTTGATCACAGAGAGCATCAAGATAACGGGCTTAACAATATGTACCTCCCAGCCTACCGGGTGATCGGCCGACCCTTGCCGGTCCATAATCCGGTAGAGAACTACACTCGGTAAGTAGAAAACACTATACAAAATGTCCAGTACCTTAAAATTGGACAATCGTTAAGTAACGATGCTTGTTTATTTCTACTGGCCATCAAAGCACGTTTTTTTGGTTATCTATAACTTATTTTCTGCTTACAAAGGCTAAGTTCAAATTTGAAAAAAATGTTAATGCCAATACAAGCAGTGTAAATACATGAGCCTTTATAAACTAATAAATATTGACTCCTACATTACTCTGTAAAATCCTTGCAATTTTTACCTTAAAACTGCATTTTATGCCTCTATCACGCGTTGCTTCACGCTTAAAATCTAAACCGAATTTGACTGCTAAACTTGTGCACCTCCCACAAATATTTTTTTAATTTTCTAATTCAATTTTTCCGGTAATTTTTCTCCCTAGGTAAATAGTATTTAAGTTTATCTTGCAGTTGTGCATCCGAATTTTATTAATATCACCATTATTAATGTGTCATATTGTATGATGACGACAATTATTTGCTAAAAGTATGAATACATTGTTTTGTATCTATTTTGTTATAGCCTAGGTTATAACGCAATCATGGCATGATTTAAAACAGTTAATTTATCTTATGAGTTGGCTTAAATATGTCGATTATCTGTTAATTTGACATGACGGTTTTGAGGAGGCCTAGCATGCGAGTGTGCCTTTAGAATATAACTTTTTACACAGGCTATGTATGTATAGATTGTGGATATGAATACCAATATGGTGCTACCTTTGTTTGGTCGAAGTTTCTTTTAGCCCTATCGTGTTGGTTTGGCCTTGTTTTCTCAACTAGGTCGGAGCGTC